GTATCACTTTTCATTATTCTTGCTTTTTAAAAATTTGTCTAATATGGAAGTATGTTTTATGTAATTTTATTTGTATAATAAATATGTTGCTTTCCTTCTCAGTGGATGTGGGAGGGTAGGAAGAAGGAGAAAATTTGGAACTCAAAATTTAAAAGGAAAAGAATGTTAAAATCAATAAATAATAATTTTTTAAAAAAGAAATGGAAGTTCCTTATAATAGTTTCATATTATAACAGATAAAATGTGAATAAACATTATTAAATATTAAAAATAGCAAATAGCTAACTAGTATTTATATAGCACCTTAAGGTTTCCAAAATGCTTTGTATGTGTTATCTTATTTAGTTCTCACTATGACTCTATGAAGTAGATACTCTTACCCCCATTTTGGAAATTAGTAATTCAGGCTTTAATAGGTTAAATGATTTTCCAGAGTAAGATAGTAAGTATCTGAGATAAGATTTGGACTTAAGTATCCCTGACTCCAATTTCAGGAATCTAACCATTACACAATATAGTAATTAAAGCATGTGTCTATTTATTCACGTATTTAAAATGTTGATATAACTGTTTCAAAAGTGTGAGAGTTCTTAGGTTGGTTTTTGGACTCAAATGGACCAGGATTTATACTGGGGGTATCCAAATAGGTAATTATCCCTCTAAATTTATGCCCTCACTGTGTAATAAAATTCTGGGGAAATAACTAACATAAAATATAGGTACGTCTCCCCAAAATGTAGACAACATAGTCTGTCTTGAAAAGATACTCAGTATACAATAAATATACCAGATAGAGTACAGCTATTTACTTTCTTACATGTAAGAAAATGCTTATAACATATTAGCAGTCAAAGGTGCTTACAATGCAGAAAATATAAATCATCTCAAATAGATTATATTAATTCTACTCTTCCCCAAAAGATAAAGGCCCTTTGTAAGATATTGCTGAACAGATATTTTAGATTCACTTTGTACCTGTATGGTCTGAATGTCTTATGAGATCTGTTTTGCATTGCATTGAATGACTTGGGCTTTTTAATTGGACAAAAACAAAATGATCTTCTTCTACTCAGAGATGCTCTCCTCCCTTTGGCTGGCACCTGACTCTGGAACTCTAGAACTCTTGAATCACAAGGTTATCTCCTAGGCAGGAATAGTCATTTTCCAAGATTGCTTACTACTAGCCTGTGCCCCAGGATGGAAATAGAATGACAGAAGAACATAGTCAGGGTCTCGGGTTATCCTAAGCAAGCATATGTTCTCGTTGGTGTGAGCTTGTATCTGCTATTGTCTCTGGAGGGTGATCAAGGGAAAGGAGGCAAGAGGAATCTCCACCACTTTGTTACTTCCCCACACAAGTTCAAGGGAGAGAAGAACATGGCAAAGAATTTTTTTTAAAAAGAGGGAAGGGAAATAGATCCTTTTGGTTCACTGTTTTTAGAAACCACAGGGCTACTTTTCATGACTCAGTGATAAACCATATTCAACACAACTTCCCAGTCATGGGAATCAGGTGACCAATCGAGTTTCTGGTTGGAAGGCAGAGTCAAGATGGTATAGAGAGAGATAGCATTTTTGCCTTGGCTGCCTACAATCTCTTCCACAATGGCTTACAAAACATGCCAGACAGAATTCTGATGGGGAAAGCCAAAAAAAATCAGTGTGACATTTTTCCATTACAGAGCAACCTTGAAAAATAAATAGAAAAGTCTGTGGACACTGAGGTTGGGGTTGGCCAGGAGTGCAGTTCAGCAGCAGTAGGGTAGCCAGTGGAAGTGGCAGTACTCTGTGGTGGTGGCAGCAGAAACAGGGAGCATCCCAGCAACCATGGAGGGTAAGGGAAAAAGAGATCCTATGCACCCTCTGTATTAGCACTGGGGTCAGGAACATATACTATCTGACAGCTCTGTTACTCTTTACATAATTGTGGGTCACAGTTCTAGGGTGAAGAGGAGTGGATGCAATAGTCAGGAAGCAAGGGCCTTACATGTATAAGGCACAAGGAATAAGTTTCAGAAACATATCTATGTGACTCTGAGGCATTTTTATCCTGCACATAAGCCTACAGTGTAATAAACCAGAGCAAGGAACCAAAATCAGGTAGGAGCCAACAAATTAAATGAACTAAAGATGCAGAAGCTTCCAGCAGGCTAACTTTAACTGTATCTAACAGCAGTCTATGGAAACTCAATCACACTTAAGCCAACAGACTCAAACCTGGGTCAAGAATTTGCAGAACTCAGACAGTGAACAGACCTATCCCCACCACACCACTTTGGAAGCATCAAAAAACTTTCACATTCTCAGGCTGAAATGTGAAAGCAGTAGAAGTACATGAAAGAGAGAAGCTCAGGTCAGGCATCCAAAAGTAAGCAGAGTACAGAACTAACCTAACATCCAAGGTCAAAAAGTAAATTGGGAAAACGAGTAAACAAACAAACAAAAAAAAAAAGAACATGACCATAAAATAACTACTATGCTGATAGGGAAACTCAAGACACAAATACAGAAGAAATTAATGACTTGAAAACATCTACAGGCAAAGTCTCACAGAAAAAAATGAAGGTTGGACACAAGCATAAAAAGACTGCAGGAAAGAGATTTAAA